CCAGCCTGTATAATAAACGTTATGCATGAGAAAAATATGTAACCCTGCTAGTCTCTAGGAAAAAAAATAGACCCAATATTTAAAGCATATAGGTAATATATACACAGCTATGATCTTAAGTCAGTCAATCCTCAAGGTGTTAACCACTTAAGTATATTAATTTACTTGGTATGAACAAATGAAGACGAGGGATTGCCAACTTATGTTCCAACGTAAACGATGAATTCCAGTATAAACTCATTCGTATATTAGAGCCGGATGTGCAAGTGCCTAAAATTTCTTCCGTATAAAGGTGATCAAATAACCCAGTGACAGAGAATCCACACGCTGAGTGATGATGTACTCAACTTACAGAGGGGAGTGGTGTCTAAAATATCTAGAAGCCAATGACCACTTTTCTTAGTAACAGCTATGGCAGACCACAAACAATTCTTATATCTAAGCAGGTTGAGAGGCAAAGGCATCAGAAGTTATATGCAAATGCAACTTAGAGGGACTAAAACCAAGTGATAGAACTATGAACTACCTAATGGAGTATAACCATTCAAAATAAAATAAAAATGTGTAGTCACCTGTGCCCTTCATGAAAAGAAAGATTGGAGGTCCACAAATTTGACCCCTTGGACGATGCGGGAGGAAGAATACACAGTTCTCCTCGTCAACCATAGCATCTGATCCATGGGCTTGAACCTGAAAAATAAAAAGAATGACGACATGGGTTAGGGAATCTTCGGAATAAAGCATGCGAACAAGAAGTTTAAAGCTTACACCAAACTTGCCAGAAAAGTTCAACTTCCAACCTTGCCATTAGTTTCATCATAATTCAGACCCAGAAATAGGATTTGCTTGTAGACACCTTCCTACCAAGTACCTAAACCACTAGTACCTGTTCTGCACTTGTCTAATGAACCTGTGAGCCAATGGAAGTCCATTCAAGCATGCAAACAAGACGATAAAATGTCCTCTTTCTGCAGACTATTGGACTATCAATATTACCAATTATCTACACCACAAGTGCAGACTATCGGAGTATCAACATAACCAATTATCTAAACCACAAGTGCAGACTATCAGACTATCAATACACCAATTATAACCTGAAGGCACTTCTCTGATAAACCTTTGAACCAATGGAATTCCACTCAAATATGCAAACTAGATGAAAATGATTCTTGCTCTCTTTCTACAGACTATCAGACTATCAATACACAACCAGAACGCCAATCTAATACCCAAGATAAACATACCGATTTGCTCAAGGAAAAAACTCCAAGAGCATGAAAGGCGATATTATTGTTTTCAATTTGTTACATGCAGTAAATCAAATTGGAAATAAGGCAATAAACTACTCTTACATAGAGATGAACAGAATGAAATTATTTTTTTTAATAGTAGAATGAAATGAAATATATAAACAAAATTGATTTATATTAATGCACCGTACGTCTAAAACATAATAAACTTTTCAAACAGATCAATTAGATGGAACCTCATTTATTTAATAACCAAACAAGATAAACACAGACAAATAATGATCGTGATAAACATCAATACATACCACATACACCTCTCGCTTGAATTCAGATGCCAAGCTTTCAATGGCAATGTCATCGCCAAATGCTGCAGCATGGCCACATTGATTCTCATCCACACTTAACAAACCTTCCTCAGTATACTGCAATGTTATGATATCATGCTCATCCTCAGGAGAGCCGGAGATGGACATATATTTCGCCCAACTCGGCCCATCATTCACCAGAATGCATCTCTCCTTATAAATAGATTCAGCTGCCGTTTCCCTTCATCCACAGATCAAATCTAATAAATACAACATAGAAAATACAAGCTCTGTAAAATAAAAATAAAAAAACATGTTTAAAAGAATTAAAGAACCACATAACACATCTTGAAGTTCTTTAATTCAAGTCCAAAAACTTTTGTGAACCTCCAAAATCTCAACGCAGATTGGAATAAATGGCTGACAATTGTTAATTAATCACATTAAGCCATGAAATCTTTTACACTATTCCAGAAATAAATAATAAATACCAATTCCTAAATGGACATAAAGGGGCTGTTTGGTTGTATGTTTTTACCATGTAAAAGGATGGGAAATGTAAAAAAGTGGGTCCCAATGTCAGCTTTCATCACTTTCAATTGTTCGTTTGTAGTTTTGAAAATATTGTAAAATGATTTCATATGCTGATGTGGCTTGTAAAGTGGTTTCATAAAAAAAACATGATTTTAGGAGAAAGTTGACATTGAAGTTAGGAAAAAATAATAAAAAAGGACAAATTTTCAAAATCATCCCATTTTGAAATTTATTTATAAAAAACGACCTCTTTTAGCTTTAATTGCAAAAACCGACCCAGTTTGTTGAAACTGGGTCGGTTTTTGAAAAAAAAAATTCCTAACTTTACGGGAGTTCAACTCTGAACTCCCGTGAAGTTTGACGACCCAATTTCAACCAACTGGGTCGGTTTTTGCAATTAAAGCTAAAAGAGGTTGTTTTTTATAAATTAATTTCAAAATGGGATGGTTTTGAAAATTTGTCCTAATAAAAAATAATTCTAACCAATATGATCATTTGAGTAGGGATCACTTTTCACTTTCCAAACAAATAATAAAAGTTACATTTGCAAATCAAACAAGCAATTTATGATTCCAATGGAATAAAAAACAAACAAAGAAAAATATAAAAGTGAAATTGATAAGGTGGACAACAACTTTCCAAGTTGTGTCATAAATACACAATTTTACCAACAACCAAACAGCCCAAAACTGAAAATCAAGAATCTGCGCAGCTTGAAAAGCGCAAACATTAAAGAAAGCTCATATTTTCAAGAGACTACGAAATGTAAATAAAAAAATTCAATAAGATTGAGAGATCCAAGACAGAAAGTAATCAATCTACCCAAATTCTAGATCTAGAAGCTACGAAATTTAAAGATAGTAGCTCTAATTCCAGATCTACAACTTTTTACATCCCAAAATGTGAATTTTCAAGCGTTATTCCAAATAAATCTTGTAAACTTCAATATTTTTACGAGAAATTCATAAAGTCAACCACATTCTACAAGGTCTCCCACCAAAATCAAGGGGAAAAAAGCTACAAAAACGCCCAAAAATAAAGAAAAATACCTCTGAATCCCAAGATCTACGAGCTCCTGGATCGCGACATCCAATCCCCCACGATCCTCTTTCCTCGCAAGAAGCTTAACCTCCTGAACCACGTGAATCCCCCACCCAGCCTTCAGATCCGGAGAGTACAAGTGCCGAATCGCCTCATCCACCGCATCTCGGCCCGGCCCATCGTCAGATCCGAAATCCTCCACAAACCTCTTCACCGTTCGCCGCCTCAACTCCTTAGCCTCAACCTTTACCGATCCCATCGCCTTCATCGCCGACGTAAACAAACAGTTTCCGTCGGGAATCGATCACGTCGCCGCCGTGAGATAGCGCTATGAACGCGCGTTCCGACAAAGGACGGGTCCTGTCCGGATTCTTCCAGCGAACACTCCCGCGCCTCGTAGCATCGCTACCGATGGTGGCGGCGCTGCATGCTACCTCGGTCCGGCTCACCCGCCGCGCAACCCGCCGGCGGTGGACGGATCCGGCGAAGCGTCCGGCCACCTGCACGAGCGAGGCGTAAGCGAGGGCTTGAGAGTCTCGGTGACCGCAGCCGACGAAGCGTCGCAGAGAAGCTTGCCCATTTTTTTTCTTTTTTTCTTTTTTAGAATATTTTTCGTTAAAATTCTTCCTTTTTTTTCTCCCTCTAGAAATGGAGGAGAGAGAAAGAGGGAGGGAGAGGGAGAGAGGAGAGAGAAAATGTGAACGTTATAGCTCGTGGGCGAATGGGCAAAACACGTGGCCTAATATTATAGGATAGTCAGAGACAGTGTGGTACGATGCTCCGCCGGAGTAGGATAAAAGGAAGACGACCGTTGATGGGAACACGTGTTGTTGGTTGGCGACAGCTGGCGGGTGCCTTGACTATTGACCAGATTCAGCTCACAAGAACAAAACATCGCACAGCTAAAGTAAACTTTAAATTGCTACGTGGTGTGTTTTAATTTGAGGATTAAGCTGTTCGTGTATGATTGAGATTAGCAGGAGCTTGTCTTGGCTGGAGAATTCGAGGACATTGTTTTACGATTCGTGCCGGCTTCCGATAGACGGACACGATTCGTTTGGGGGCGGAGGATAAGCGCAGCTCAGCAGCTGGTTGTTGTCGTCGTTGTGGTGCGCTGTTGTTGGGGACAGTAGCGATGCCTCGCGTTCTTGACCTCGACGTGTTTCTGGGATACTTGTTTAGCAAATGATATTCTGCCACGTGGAGAGGACGCCGAGAGAGGGAGGGGGGCCGTGCTGACCGGTGCTGTAGAACGTGGTGTTTGTAGTCGTTTGTTAGAGCATCTCCGACAACTTTTCCAAAAATTTCTTCAAAATGAGGAAGCAAACGTCATAATCTCCAAATTATTTTTGCTCCAACTCCAACAGCTTCCCTATTTTAAAGAATCCTACATTTATTACAATAATAAAAAGTCATATTCTCCTGCATTTATTACAAATCCTGTATTTATTACTAGCCCTCAAAAACCGAAAATTCCTTCATTTTTTACAAATCCTGCATTTTTTACAAATCCTGTATTTATTACAAAGCTCTCAAAAACTGAAAATTCCTGCATTTTTTACAAATTCTGCATTTATTACAAATCCTGCATTTATTACAAAGCTCTGTGCAAAAATTTACAGAATCCTGCAGATTTGGGGAAAACTCCCTATTTTTTCTCCTTCATCCCTATTTTAGGGATGTGATAGGGAATCTGTTGGACTAAAAAAATGCCCAAAATTCTCCAAAAATGAGAATACCAATAAAATGGGGAAGCTGTTGAAAATGCTCTTAGAATGTTTGGTGTTTTACTCTTTCAGTGGATTTGTAAAGGTTACGTCCTTGACCTCAACGTGGCCTGCTTGTCCTGGTAAAAGATGGTGAGAAATGAGCTCACGTGGAATTTGGGCCTTTGCTATATCAATTTTGGAGTTGTGCCATTTCAATTTAGCTAGTTTGGTTGGGATAAGTGTTTAGAGGAATTTACAGTTAAAAAGACCCTCGCCACAGAGGCAATTTCCTTCATCTCAAGGGGGTGTTTGGTTCAATTTATATAAATTATAGGAAAAGAAAAACACTCGAGTATTTCTATAAAATTTGTAGAAAAATTTTATAGAACTCAAAGAGTGTCATATTTCTTATTTTTTGCTATATCTTTGTTTAGTCCAAAGTATGAAAAAGTTCTTAACTTTATAGAAAATATGTTGTTGTTTTTTCTTTTGTTTGGTTGGATATCATTTTATAGAAAATAGCTTAGTAACAATGCCCATGAGAAATCACATGAAAATGGTACTAATGTACTTAATTAATTTTTTAATATAAGCATCAGATTTCTTAGTGTTTTCCGCCCATTTCTAGTGGAAAACAATTTCTGTGAAATTGTACAGATTCATGTACTTTACAGAAAACTTTTATGTAAATTCAATGTTGAATCAAATATAGTTTATGAAAATCTATAGAAGTCTATTATTTACGATAATACCATTGTCAGGTATTTTCTCAAAACTTTTCCAGTGAACCAAACACCGCCTAACTCTGAAATCGGATATAGAAATTGGGACGGAACTCTTGGGGGTTGGGGTGGTGTGTTGGGGGTAGAATTGTTGAAATTTTGGAGCCCTAAAATCACCGCCTCCTCCCTATCTTCTCTGCTCTAGTTTTCCTTCCTGCCTCTCTCGTCAACTTTCTTCTCTTCCCGCCTTTATCAAGTGTAGGATGTCTAAAAAATTCTTGTAGATAGCTGATCCCCATCAAGCACTGATAACGGATGTTATAATTCGACGACTTTCAAAAGATTACAAATTGAAGAACTTCATAACGATCGACGAAAGTTACAATTCAACAACCTTCACAACAACCGAGGAAAGTTCTGATTCGACGACCTTCACAATCATCAACAGGAGTTACAGTTGGTGACACTCACATTTCAAGGAGCCAAGACAAAGATTACAAGACGACAATCTTTACAACGCTCTAACAAAAAGAGACTACAAGTTAACGTCTCTTTACCTCAAGACGCAGAGCTCATCTTTGCTTCATAAGAACAAAATGTGAAACTCATATCCACGTTCCAAGAACAGAAGGCATGGTTCACCACTGCGTTTTCAGACCTAAACGCAGAGCCTAACTCTGTGTCCGAAGTCCAAGACGCATAGTTCATTCCCAGAGCGCGAATTTCGCGTTTGACTCATTCAAACACAAGCTGAACAATTCCAAAATCATTTTCCTCAATTTGAGGGGGATTACACCCCACTAAGGAGCGATTTTAGGGGTTAGTTACACCCCTTAATCCTCTATAAATAGCTAAAAATCAGCTTAAATCGGATCTTCTAGCAGATCATTTTGGAGGATCGGAATTATCAAGGCTTGGAGGTTTTCGGATCTTGGAGAGTTTTGAGCATCCTTTGGAGCTATTCGTTTTCTTCTCCTTGCCTATAAACTGATTTTGGTTAGATCAAGTCAACTCTTCTCTAGAGTTTTAAACTCGTTAAGAGTTCTTTAACTCGTTAAGAGTTCCAAACTTACCTCGCAAGTTCTCCTTAATGTCAATTCAAGAGAAATAGATCGTGTTCCACGAGTTGAAGCGTTTGGATCGTCAACATGATACAAGAATCAAGCTCCCATCGACACAAAAAAGAACACAGTTTTAAACAAAGGGAATGATCTCCGTCGATTCTTTCCTTCTCGATTCCTTCCTTCTTTTGTAAATCAGGATACCGATAGAAAAGAGTTGTAATTTTTTTTTCTTCTAAGTCAGTTAGAGAGAGATTACAGTGAGATATTATATTTATTCTTTTCCTAAGTCAGTTAGGGAGATTATTACAAATTTTATTCTCATTTCTTCTTTAATTTTTTCACAAATAAAAGATGGTGACTCTGCTGGGGACAAGCTTCACTGATGAAGAAGTGATGGCACAATCCAACGTCAATCTCGTTTGAACTATGACTGAAACTCTTGTTATGGAGTTTGATCAGGCCAAGTACGAGGAGGCACTCTCCTCCGGATCCATTAGCCCTGAGGCTATGCGCAAGGTCCGTAAAGTCTCTAAGAAGACTAAAGTTCCAATTGTTGCTGAATCACCAATGGAGGACCTCTCCTTCGGAATAGATGGTTCGGATAGTCTCTCCTCTGAAGGAGTAGGCTCAGCTGTAGTTAAACTCGTTAATCGAGTTGAAGATTTTACACCTGCACCAAAACGACGGGTATCGGGTCACAAAAGGCCTATTGTGGCGATGAACTTGATCAACACAGATAGTGCCGCTACAAAAGCCTTGAGGCTGGCTAAGAAAAATGCTACTCAATGAAGGAGGAGATCCCTACGACGAGTACATCTATAAGAAAGTTGACCCCTCAATCAAAGCGAGCTCCGCGTTTGTGAGCCTCAACACAAACCTTGTGTTTCAACCTTAGAAGATGAGTCTCGTGTTGATGAGCCTAAGTATGAGCCCCGCATGATCCAATTAAAACGCGACCCTCAATGGAGCGTTTCATAATCAAAATGCGACCCTCAAGGGAGCGTTTCACTAACAGAAAAGCGGACCTCAGGTCTGCATTGCTCCATCAAAGCACGGCCCTCAGGGGAGCATTTCACCAGCCAAACGCAGACCTCAGTCATGCGTTTCTCAGTCAAAATGCGACCTTCACGTTCCTCAAGCAAAACACGACTCTCGCGTTACCAATGCTAAACACGACCCTCACGTTCATTCTCTGGAATGTGATGTGATTCGTCGTGTTCAAATAGCTAATATAGATTTAAGATCTATGTTCACTAAGAACCAATCTCGCCTACTGATGGGCAGGGGGTTCCAGTTCAAACCTCACGTTTAGTGAGGGTCATTCCTCATGGCTCTGATCTAAGAGAACTCTTATCGAGAGAAAGACCGATGCAACAAGCCGCTCAAACATGTTAATGTGAGCGACTGATTTCCATAGTCCTCTCAGAATGTTAGTGCTGTACTTCTATGCCTAGACGATCGGTGTTCGACTGATTGACGAACGTTGTCCGACCTAACAAGTGACGACGTCACTACAAGAAGAAAGCTTCAGAGGTCGAATATCCTAAGTTACTATCAATATGATTGTAAAACCCAAAAATTTTGAATATTTTATAATAAATAATAATAAATGTGTTACATTATGAAAAATTTATATTTATTACTATTTGAGTATGCTAAGAATTGATTTGAGATCAATTCAATATATATATGTGAATATAGAAGTGATATCATGCACACGTGCACGGGCCTAAATCTGGGAAAAACGACCAGTTAGAAGTATATGTATTTTACACATAGAAGAAATTAGAATCTGAGAAACCTTAAAAGACAAAAGTTGTAGGTCT